GGATCCTGCTGATCTTAATTTCCCTGCATAATTTTGGTTCCTGGTGCATCTTTGGTTGCCTGTGATGGATCATTCGACCTCTTCTCCACCTCTGGGACCATTTTTTTCAGAAATCAGCTCACCTGTTCCATCCCAGTTTAGGAACATTACATTTCACATCCTGTGTGGTGAATATTTCTTTTCTCTGTAAGCTCTTCCTCTCCTCCAGGGAAAACTATTCTACATGATATTATGAAAAAATTATTCAGTACCTATTTCCATAGGTTTTTCATTTGATACATTCAGCCAATGTCTGCTGGCCATCTGTGCCCTGTGTCTCTGCTCACTTGTCAACAAGTGTCCTGCATTTTTCTGTACATTGTTCAAAACCTTCTTCAGAATCAGTGTGTACCCTCCTGTTAACATCCTGTTTCTGAATGGGATAGGAACAGCCAGATCCTGATCAGTGGCATGAAGTCCAACTGGTGGCCAGTTACTAGTGTTGTCCTCAGCAGTTGATAACTGGGCTGATGCTGTTTCATGTCTTTCTTAATGACCCGGATGATGAGACACAGTGCACCTCCACAAGTTTGCAGATGACACCAAACTGGGAGGAGTGGCCAAAAATGCTAGAAAGCAGGACTAGAGGCAGTTTGGAGAAATGGGCTGACAGAAAGCTCATGAAGTTCCATAAAAGCAAGTGCCAAGTCCTGCACTTGGAATAGAATAATCCCCTGCGTCAGTGCAGGTTGGGGGCCAACTGGTAGAAGGCTGATATGCAGAAACTGCACCTCGGAGTGATGGAGAGCAAGAAGTTAACCCTTAGTCAACAGTGTCACATTGCTGTGGAGAAGGCCAACTGCATGCCAGGCTGTATTAGCACAAGCACAGGCAGCAGGTCAAAGGAAGCGGTAATTTCCCTCTACTTGGCACTTGTGGAGCTGCGTCTAGAGTGCTATGTGGGGTTTGGGGCTTCCCAAAACACGAAAGACATTGGGATACCGGAGTGAGTGCAGCGGTGGGCCAGGGAGATGTTTGGGGGCTGGAGCAGATGACATAGAAGGAGAGGCAGAGAGAACTGGGTATGTTCTAAGAAGAAGAGGCTGAGGGGAGACCGTCCTGTGGTCTTCAAGTATCTAATGAGAAGGTACAGAGAAGACAGCGACAGATTCTTCTCAGAGGTGTTTGAGGAAAGGACAAGAGGCAACAGGCACAAACTGCAAGCTGGGAAGTTTGGATTAAAAATCAGGGTGAGGGTAGTCAGATACTGGAGGAGGTGCCCAGCGAGACTGGGGAGTCTCCGTTCCTGGAGTTACTCTCAAGTCAACTGGGCAAGGCCCTGAGCAACCTGCTCTATGTTGATCTTGCTTTGAGCAGGGGATTGGACCAAATGACCTGCAGAGATCCCTCCAACCTAAATTACTCCATGATTCTAATTTCGTTCTACTGTTTCTGATGTATCCTCTGTTTAAATCACCCATTTCTTTCTACCTTTCTCTTCTGTTGCAGAAGGTGACTTTCTCAGTGGATGTTACTCTATTAGGAAGATAGGGAGAATTCATTTCCTTGGGACTGATCTTCCTTAGATACTTTTCTTTAAGAATACAGTATCCCTTTAGGCACATAGGTATTCTTTCTAAGGGAGTATCAAAGTTCCTCCTCAGCTGAATTAGCCTTCTGGTTTCTTTCCTAAACCTCACATTTCTGGGATTAGATCTAATATTTACGTCACTGACGTAAGAGGAATCATTTTTCCTACCTTTGCAAATATAAACCCTTCTAGAAGTCTGGCAGTTTGTTAGTGCATGTTATTGGAAGGTCTAAGAGTGCTACTATTTTTGTATAGTGATTGTCAAAAAGAATAGTGGCTACATCCCCACCTGGAGTCCAGTGATTGATGTTAGGACTGAGGAATGCCTCGTTTCCATACACCTGCTGTACAGCTGTTTGAAGCTTCATCCATACCTTCCTTAAAAACTATTCTACCTCTGAGATTTTAAGAGCTGATACAGTATTTGCTGGAGTGTTTTTCACAATATTTAAGTGAAAGACAGTGCTATCCTTCACCAGCTAATTCAGTAATTGAGGTAACTGCAAGGTCTGTGGCAGGAGATGGAAGTGATGGAAGATACTCTGCCTTCTATGCTGTCAACTGGCTAGGGAGAAAAGAGGAGCAAGAGTGCACACTTTATGCCCATGGAAACTTCCTAGTCATAACTGACAGGGCACAAGCTTAGCTACAGTTTAAATGTGTATGTCAGCAGCATGTCTCCAAAAACTCTAGTTCTTGGCAAATAATTTTTAATTTGTTATATAATTAGCTACTCTCAGGGGGAAATGACCAAGGGTACATTTAAAGTTATTTTTGAACAGGTAAATTAGATATGCATTGTAAACAATTTGCTTCAGGGAATATTCCTGTTTCATTTTTTCCAGAAAAGCTTACTGGGACATATATAGACAGGTCTGCTCTAAGATTAATAAGTTACTGCATAAAATGTTTTGTCTTAAGTTTAATTGAAATGCTCCCCTGGAATGTCTATAACTTGATCAATCTGAAAACTGAAGTCTTTATTATAAATACGGTCGTCAGTATTTTGGTGACTTTTGTCTTTGGTCAATAGCATGGCAAGTGGTACTTTCTAGAGGGAAGGGAGGGAAGGTAATGATAATTCAGTGAACTAAGTTGTTGGCACAGTTTAAAAGCCACTTACATTCCATCCCTCCCCAATATATGATGAGATCAGTTTTCTGTTAGCTTTCAGAAATACAGAATAAAACCCTAGAATTAAAAGAATTACCAAATGGAGCAATTAGAAAAAGATTAAGTAGCTGCAATGACCAGTACTCAAAAGAATATAATCCTTTCCTGCAGAGTTAGATCTTGCCACTGAGCACTAACAAGCTTGGCCTAGATATCAGCCGGTAGCATCATTGTGTTCTGTTAACAGCCCACGGTTGTTAAGCCACACATCTGCATCAAGCCCGTCCTTCAGTGTTAGTATTGCAAATTTTGATTATGACTGGGAATGGAATGATGAATGTCAAAAACCTTTCCAGCTTCATTATGGAAAAGTTTGTTGCTCCAAAGATTGTTTTATCTTGGCAAGGGACAGATTGGCACAAAGTGTTTTGATTGTTGCAGTTGACTGGAGATTTTCTTAGTTGACGCTGTTTTTTGTTATAAGTAGAGGGTGTTGTAGCTGACTTGCTCCTTTTTTTTCTCAGTTAAAAGGAAAATGTTTATATAGATCATTCTGCTGCATCCAACGGAAGTAAAAGCTGATATACTAGTACGCCTTTGCTTCCCCAGCATGTTGCTGGTTTTCTTTTTCTAGAAATACTCAGCGGTTTCCTTCCTGCTAGTGTTTTCGCTTTTCACTGGTTATGTAGTTTTTCTTTACGTTCTTTTCTGACATATTTCTCTATTTCATTCTATGGAATTTTCTCTTTATTTGCAAAATTGATAGAGTTTTTGGTCTTGTTTTGCCCACAAAATAACTATTAAGACCAGAAAAGTTTGGTTATTTTATGCATGCTAGCCAGTTTGGACTATGTGTCACTGAAATTCTCCTTCAGTAGCTTGATCACTGGATGAACCGTTAGCTGTACGCTTTGAATAGTTTTTGATAATTGCATTTTTTTAAATTTTTCTTAGTTTGTTGGATATAGGAAGAATTCTTGTCAGCTGCGTTTGAGTGCAAATTCTGAGTTGCAGTATTTCTTGCTCTGTCACTGCTCGGGGATGCAAAACAGTTTTGTCATCCGTGTTTATCCTGAGCTAGTAACTCTACCTTTAGGAGTACAGAATTTATTAAAGCAAGTAGTGGTATATTCCATAGCTGGCATCTTCCAGCACCTGTATAGTGAGTGACATACCCAACTCTCTTTGTAAAAACATGTAAGTATAAGTTGTAGTTAATATAAATTGAGCTTAATATAATTATTGAACTTTTAGTAAATCACTTTTAGAATGGAGTACCAGTTTATTGTTAGGCAGGGATATAAATGCAATGCAGTGTTCTAATGTCATACTAAATTTATACCAATATTTGACTATCTCCAGTAATAACATCTAAGTTTCTCCCAATTGAGAACACTTGGTTTGATAGAAAGAGAAAATGTATATGGAAGAAGTTTGTATAAGTAATCTGTGTGGTAATTAACATTATTATAAAATTATTGAAAGACTATTCAGAGATACTTTTATGCTAGATAGAGCTATAGTTGAATGTTTATTGTGTTTTTAGCATGTTAATTAGTGATAAATTCTAACCAACACAGAACTCATTACTACTGCAGGATACAATATGACTAGGTACATCTGTTTAATATCTATGCTAGAATTTACAGTCATGTTAATTCTGAACTTTCCTGTTTGATAACTGTCTAAGGTGTGAGCATCGTTCTTTTATACTTGTCTATCATCAGCCACTCTTTGAACACCTTTTATGTTGCTAAATCACAAAGTGTAGCTATAAGCATTCTTCAACAGATATTTTGAGGGAAGTAGACTTATTTTCTGGGGACCCAATCCTACCCCTGTTTTAGAAGACACTTATGACTTCATTTGTAAAGCACATATGTAGCTTTTTTTTAAGAGATTGTTTACAGAGGTGGTTTTTTATGCTTTTGGTGTATCACAACATATATTATAGATGTATTCCATTTAATACCTAGCATTTTACTGATCCAGTTTTAAGATACATAGACATCTATTTATCTTTGTGGTACATTTTCTAAAATAGAAATGATCTAAGAGTTGAAGGTTTGTAATGTGGTATTATAATAGTAAGTTTCTAATGACAAGACCAGAGTAGTTCTCAGACTATAATACTGTTTCAATCAAATGTAGAAGTACTTTCCACAGGACTGGATGGTTCTTCTAGTCTACAAAAGCATCATGCAGTGCACATGCATTGATACCCTTTGGACACCAATTTAGTTGTGACACTTGCTAAGTTCATATTGATCGCATTATACTATTTTTTCTCCTCTTGCCTGCCCTAAAAATGTTTTAGGTAGAAGAGCTGATGATGGCCATGGAGAAGGTTAAGCAGGAACTGGAGTCAATGAAAGCAAAACTGTCCTCCACGCAGCAGTCGTTGGCTGAGAAGGAAACCCATTTGACCAACCTACGAGCAGAAAGAAGGAAACACTTGGAGGAGGTCCTAGAGATGAAGTGAGTGTTTCCTTCCGTTATTTATAGATATGTTATTGATATTTCTGAATTCTCTTCTGTTCCCTGGTGATGTAAAGACAATCACTGTATGAGTATTTCTCTGTAGCTAGGCAGTTATCTGTGTAATCAGTCAAGCCTTCAGAAGCGACTTCTGACCAAGGACTATGTACACTACTTTCATACTTTTGTTAGTTAGTAGGCTTCAAAAACATTTCTTCCTTCCGGTCATCCGTTTTCTTGTAATAGACATGTATTATTTGCACAATAGCATCCTAAAAGATTCTAAATAATGTTGGGGAACCCATTATTTTGTGTGTTTTACGAATGTGCCATCTTACCTTGAGTAACCTGTAATCTACTTTAAGGCAAGGTGCAAGTGAGCGTAACAAGTGATAAGAAGGAAGGAGGGAGAAGATAAACATAATGACAGATAACTGTAATTGCTGAAATCAGACTGCAGACGTCTGCTTGGTCTGCTAAAGCGTTTTTCAAACTCGTGTGAGTGATTCATTAGCTGGAACCGAATATAAACTTCTCTATCAGTTGGACTTCTCTTGTCATCTTTATATAAGGAGACCTGAATAAAACCAAGCTTTGAGCAGGTGGGGAAAAGTGAGGAATTAGACTTCTAAGGCTTAAATACTTCCTAATTTCTGACTGTGCATTATAGATGAATGGTTATCCTTAGTTCAGGGAGACATGAATCCATTAAGTGCAATGATGGATAGCGCTGCCAGCAGTTCATTAGAAACACTTTCAGTTGTTTAGCCAGCCCTGAAGAGAAGGAACATTTTTATTGGCAGGGCCAATAAAAAGTGGTTCCTCCACTGTGGTTTTGTGAGCCATTATTTATTTATTTAACTTTTCTGTGTTACCTCTTTCCTTTTTTTTTTTTTAATGGAAGGATAGAAAAACAGCTATTACAAAATGGAAAGAGAGGTGGCTTAGATCTTGAAACTCTAGCTTAGCAGTGCTGTGTAAAGTGGGCCAAGCCTCCCCAGCTTCATATTCAGCTACTACAGTCTGATCTAGATGTGGCATAAAGACACTGGAAGACTGCAGTACTTAAAAACCACACTTTTTATTTTTAATAAAAGTTTTTATTGAGCTATAAATTTGACTGCCTTGAGAGTTGGTATACTGGGGGATGGGAGGAATAGCTCTTAAGGTGATGTGGGAATCCAAAGCAACTGGAGATATATCCATATCCAATCACTTGGCAGCCCTTTTTTTGGCCAAACTGTTCTGCCAAACCTTCTCATTAAAATGTACACGTATTGTACAGTATATCCTGAAATGTATTTGGAGTTTGTGTAGCTCTAGAGCCTTTAATACAACTACTCACGTCCTTTAAATGATGCCCTCTCTTAGCTTACGAAGTTATTGTTGGAAAGTTACTGTACTGAAAATTTAGTATCAGGAACTACATAAACTGGTAGAGCTATTGTACCTCAGAAGGAAGAAGAACACTGAAGAGAACAGTAATGCTGTCAGCACATGGACAGAAAGATGGAAAAAACATTAGATTTGTGCAGTTAACCAGCTGAACATGTTTTAGACATAGCTGGTCTGTCTTAAAATTCTATAAAGCTGCCTAATGCATCCAAACTTCAAAAACTCACCCTAACCATGAAGCTATGTTGCAGAAAGGTCTCTACTGATGACTCCCAGGCAGTTAAATATCTTAACATTTATATGCAGAAACACCAGTGTATTCTTTACTACTCTACCTTCCCAGTCCATGCTTTTTGAAGAGCACTCCTCTCTGCTGTTTTATGGTTTTGCAGAGATTTCTAGTGTTGTTAAAATGTTTTCTGCTATTTCAACTCAAGAATAACAGTAATTGAATGAGCAGTCAATTTTATGAAACAATTCAGCTGGTTTGGGGCTCCTTAACTGAGAGCAATAGTTGTGGTACAGATATTGTTCAAAGATTCAGTAAAGCAATCTTGTCTCCCAAATTTTAGGGCATGCTTCACCAAGGAAAGCTTGAGGTGCTCAGAAGCAGCAGTGGTTGAATTCTGCAACTGAAAGAGGCATAGGTTGGAGAACATGGCGCTACAGTCAGCTAACGGGGTGGAGGGAAGTGAAGGAAGTATACAAGACAAATAGCTTAAGAAATGCTGCTTTGAGAGATTCTAGCTATGGATGGAAACAAAGTATTAAGTCAGCAAGAGGGCTCCAGAAAGCTACCTGTATGTGTAACAGGAAGTTGTTAGATATTATGTTAGTGATAATATATACTCAAAATATTATTTCTTAGAGTAGAACTTCCGTTTACTGCTGACTCTATAACCCTGAGAAGATCATTTAACACTCTTTAGGGAATCCTGTGTCACTAGAAAGAATACTAGATATGTGAACTATTCCAAGGAATACATTTTAGTCCTTAAAAATATACTATGTATTTTGAACCCCTTTTCCTTTAAATCTAATGTTTTTGTTTTAACCAAAAACAAACTTTTGTTATAAATAATTGTGAGAAAGGTAGATAATGTTCTCTGTAGTTGTATCACCAAACATGATCTACTGTAAAAAAAAATAGTGAACTGCAAGGATTTTTGTTTTGTTTTGTTTTCTTTAAGAAGTTCTAATGGTTCCATCATTCACAGCAAATCTTTTAAATTAGGCAGGAGTAAAGTGCTGTCTACAGAGAAATCTCTGTTCTTTGTCCCATAAAAACCTGCTTAGGCTGAGCTGAGTTATAAACTGTTGAAAATCACTAGTTTTCCTTTTCCTTTTTTTTCCTCCTGGTGTTGTCAGCAAATTTTGGCACTGTGTGAAAATAACTAAATGCAAACATTCTAATCTAGGGCTGAGTTCAGGCAATTGCCAAAACTGTAGCAGCGGACATTGCACTCAGAGAGGAGGGGAACAGACATGGTGTCTACTTGTAGAGAATGGCTTTTCTTTTCTTTTCTTTTCTTTTCTTTTCTTTTCTTTTCTTTTCTTTTCTTTTCTTTTCTTTTCTTTTCTTTTCTTTTCTTTTCTTTTCTTTTCTTTTCTTTTCTTTTCTTTTCTTTTCTTTTCTTTTCTTTTCTTTTCTTTTCTTTTCTTTTCTTTTTTGTTTCTTTCTTTCTTTTTTTTTTTTGAACTAGGCAGGCCCTTTTGTGACAGTCAGAAGGACAAAAAAGTTCTCCCTAGTCATCTGCTTCAGGGTCGAAAAGTCCAAGTGGGAGTATTTCTCAATCTGTTCTTTCAGGCTGGAAAATTGTCTAATACCCCATTCACCTTTTCTGAATTAAGTCTTTTCTTGCTGGATGCCATTGTTGTTAGCTCTGTAATTAAAGTGGAAGCAGACTTGTGTAGTGCAGTTGGCACTTCTGAGTTGAATCCTTGATCCTTGTGGCACACAACAGAAAGATTTTTAGTTCCCCAAGGGTAATTTAGTATCTTTTTATTTTTCTTTAAAAATAGTCAAAGTTATTACAGACAAAAGAATTCTTATAATAGAACGTAATTTATGTTTTGAAATCAAAATGTCTCTCAAAAATGTCTTTTGATTACTCATGTAACTTTACTTGAATGGTCCTTTGAATATTTATCGCAGTAGTCTTTAATTGCGTGAATACATCCCATTTTTCCACAGGATGCTGTTTCATTTGATACAGAGTGTAGACAGTGATGGGAGGTGAACCAAGGCTATGTAGCTTAATGAAGCTGTTTATTGTATTATTCATCTAGGAGTGCGAAGGCATGCTGAGAGCTAGATGAGGGCTGCTATTTAAAACAAGATGGCAGCCTAGGTCGTGCCATGCAGGAAGACTGTTCATCCTACTATTCGTGCATGATATACAAGTAACTTAAAATATTTGGGAGATGATTGATAAGTCTGCATGTACATTTTCTGGCTATAAGATGAGAAACATGTAGCACCACATACAAACACTCGCAACTGAAAATGAAGTCAGTGGAAGCCAAGGTTATTTGTCTTCTGAAATGTTCATCCTCATTCAACTCAAAAGTTCATTTTGGCAATAAAGCAGTATTGTCCAGGGATTTGAGTATGAGGTTGAGATCGAAAGTAGTCCAAAAGAAACTGATTAATTGGCATATAGTTTATTTGCCAGAAAAGTAATTTTGGTTGATGTGTGAAGTCATTTCAGATGCAGCAAACAGTTTTGCCAAAATGAAAATATTTCATATTATGTACTTCCATGATGAACAGATCCGACAACCAAAAAAAAATGTTGTCACTGTCCATCCAGTAATAACTTGTCAGTTGATCAGAAAATGTGTTCATGAAAATTAAAGAAATCTTTGTCTGAGTCATTACAGAAATTGTGTTTTATGTCCATAATTTAGCAACCATTCTCCAGAGGAGAAGAGTGATTCCTAGCTGCAAAAGAAGTATGCATATGTTCCACACAGATAAGCAGTTGTCTCTCTAGTTTGAAGTCGGTTCACACTTGTCTTCTGTGCTAAGAAATAATAGTATCCTAACCTTACATCTGCAAGATATAGCTTTCTACACCCAGCCAAAACACTTCATCATATTCAACTGGGCTGTAAGTTATATGGGCCGCTTGGTATATCAGGTCATCAGGCAATCACAGCAGCGGTACAAACACACCTCCTGTAATTACTTTGTGTGATTTTAAATAAGCTAAAATCCCACAGGGGGCACTCCATGTCTGCACAATTTACTGCTCGGGGCAAAGCCGAGCAAGTGCATCTGCATCAGTGCCTTTCCCACCTACAGGCTTCAGGTCTTTACTTTAAAACATCTTTTCCAGAGGGAAGGCACACAGTGAAAATGGCTGCAACGATATCCTGTTGCCATTGTTTTGTCTTTTTTAATTGACAAGCATAAAATATGTAATTATGTATGTTTATTTTAACTATATATATTGTCACCCTGTTAGATTTTGACATTTTTAAGCTGTAAAAAATTCAGTTACAATAGCCTGAAATGTGAAAAGTTACCCCTTTCCAGATACCGGAAAATGCAGAAATTAAGATTAGATTGGAAATCAACCGATCTTGGAACTGCTGTTAAT